TCTGTCTGTCTGTCTGTCTGTCTGTCTGTCTGTCTGTCTGTCTGTCTGTCTGTCTTACTTTTCCGCATTTCTTTCTTTCTGGTTAAACACCCTTTATGTCATTTTATCTACATTTGTGAGGCAGCGTGGTGGAATCAGGCTCTCGTCAATTTCTGGGCATGTAGAGTTATTGGTATCATATTAAAGCTTGTTCATTTGTCTTTATTTGGGTGAAAAATGTATCCAATTACCTTGAATACAAGTCGAGATATTTGTGAATGAAGGGAGTGGGGGTCACCTACTTTCAGAGGTAAGATAAGTGAGAAAATGGTTGCCAGGGATTAGTTTTTTCCTTAGCTTAAGAGTCTGTGGTAACTGAAAATTTACTTTTTTTTGTGCCTTTAATCAACGTTTTTCAGAAAATTCCATACAGAAATGAGTTCTTTAATGGGCATGAAAGGTGTTGAGCCAAAAAACAAAAATTTGAAACAAAATTCCCCAACCTGTGGAAAAATGCAAGTTTCTTCACTTTGATTATTTTGACGAGAGCCTGATTCCACCACGCTGCCTCACATATAGACGAGAGCCTGATTCCACCACGCTGCCTCACATATAGACGAGAGCCTGATTCCACCACGCTGCCTCACATATAGACGAGAGCCTGATTCCACCACGCTGCCTCACATTTTTTATTTCTGTGGGGATTTTACTTTTTTAAAACGGTGATCAAAGGTGCAAGAAATATAAATTTCCAGTTTCTAGGGATAGTCAATCTTTGGAAGGCACAACACTTTGTCGACAAGTATTCTGTTTTAATTTACCTCGAGTTTTTTTTGGTAGTGCGTGTGTGTGATTGGGGGGGGGGGGGGCGGAGAAGAAGGATGGTGAGTGAGAGAGGGAGACAATGGGGCGGGGAGGGATGTTAACAGTCCTCATATTCTGAACTCAGTCCTATCTTAGATAGACGTCAAACAGTCGACGGAAGTTGAGTCTTTTAAACAGCCTGGCTAGATTGAAAGGGACGAAAAACCTTTTCCCATACTGCACCAAGGCCACAGTAGTTTTGTGTTTTTTATTTTAAAAATTTTTGCTCACTTTTGTTTGGTCTTTTCAGGAGATAGAAAAAAATATTATTATGCTACTGATGTCTACCCTGCCAGACACAGAGAAGAGGGAGAAATTATGCTCTTAGGTCGTTCTGTTTTACGACAAAGTACATGTACTGTGGTAACGATCTAACGGGGCCACCCATAATATTTGTCCAGGAGAAAAGTGGTTGCCTTATGCAGGTGGCCGTCTTACGCAGTGTTATTATAATGTTTTTACAAATAATGCAAGGGGGGGGGGGCGTTTGGTAGAGGTGATTGTCTTATACAGGTGGTTGTCTTATATAGGAGGCCGTTTGTACAGGTGATTGTCTTATACAGGTAACCGTTTGTACAGGTGATTGTCTTATACAGGTGTTTGTTTGGTACAGGTGATTGTCTTATACAGGTGGTCGTCTGTACAGGAGATTGTCTTATATAGGTGATTATCTTATACAGGTGGCCGTCTGTACAGGTGATTGCCTTATACAGGTGGTCGTTTGTACAGGTGGTTGTCTTATATAGGTGATTGTCTTATACAGGTGGCCGTCTGTACAGGTGATTGCCTTATACAGGTGGTCGTTTGTACAGGTGATTGTCTTATACAGGGGGCCGTTAGAGCGGGTTTGATTGTGTCAGTGTAATACGGGGTGCCCACTACTGATGGGATCGGCCGATCGGCCCGATCCCCCGACTCGATCGCCTCAAAAACAAACGTGTTTGTTTTCAGTTTCAGGCGATCGAGTCGAGCGATCGGCCCGATCCAGCCGTAGTGGGCACCCCGTATAAAGAATAGACATTTAACTTCAGAAGAAAGGCAGAACGTCTTGTGCATTACAACAAGACTTACGCATTAAGACTTTGTCAGGGATTGAAAGAAGGAGGAGGAGGAGGAGGAATGGGGAAAAGAAGAAGAAGGATGGGTAACAGGAGGGCAAGTAAGAAGAGGATGGGGAAATAGATGAGGAAGGAAGACAGGAGGAGAAAGAGGAGGGGGAGGAGGATATGAGGACGGGTAATGGTTGTACGGGGTAAAGAAGAAGAAGAAGAAGAAGAGCAACAACAACAACAACAACAACAACAACAACAACAACAACAACAACAACAACAACAACAACAACAACGATAAGCTACTCACACAAGAGGTACGTCGTTTCCGAAATGACCTCGCTCTCGCTCTCTATCTATCTCTCACTCTCTTTTTCTCTCTCTCACTTTCACCGACTTGGATCAGAGGAACAGGAGACGTCTTCCTTATATAAGGGTAATTTAAGTCGCCTTTGAGACATGTCCAAGGTACGTGGACCCATAACTTTCACCCCTCCTCACAAGCTATCTGGCCACAACTGTTGTCATATCCAGGAGTTCCTGTTCGATACATCGATCGAAGTCCTTCCCTGGCAGTACGGATGCTGCTAATTAATGTCATTTCACAGATTCTTGGTGGCTTTATGTGATTTTATTTTCGATAAACTTTGCAGACTCAGATGCAATCTGTGGTTCCGTGAGTTTTTTACAGCTGTGTCGACGATTTTTAGGGAGGGTTGCACAGCGTTAGGACTGAGATGTAAAGGAAAAGTTTTGAAGCATTAATTGCAAGCCTTATGAGACTATTTCAGAGGTGAGAGCTTTGATTTTTTTGTGGCCTTCTCCGATAGGAATGAGCAAGGTCGGTGCATATTATGGATTATCGTTGTGAAAAATACGTGAATAAATTTTACATGTAAAGTATTGAGTGAATATTTTTTTTTCTGCTGTTCGTGAGAAAAGGGATGAAACGCTGGGTTTTTGATAAGTTGGGTTTTTTCCCCGACGAGGGATTTGTACTTTTATGCTGGCACAGTTTTTGGATTTTCTCATTAATGAAATGTGAGCCCTCCCACACGTGCCCAGAGTTGAGATACGCCGTTTTCTGAGTGCGTGTGGTTTTCTCGTGTTTTCTAGAAGTATTATTGTCAAGTTCACAGCGGTAATGAAATCGTGGTGACTAATGATTGTGTTGGGAAATACCAAAATGTGTAGGGAACGGTTAGGGAGGAGAGAGAGAGGGAGAGAAACTGGGGTAGGGAGAGAGAGAGGGGCGAGAGAGACAGAGAGAGAGGGAGAGAGAGTGGGGTAGGGAGAGAGAGGGGGGAGAGAGAGACAGAGAGAGAGAGGGTAGGAGAGAGAGGGGGGGAGAGAGACAGAGAGAGAGGGAGAGAGAGGGGGGAAAGAGACAGAGAGGGGGAGAGAGACAGAGAGAGTGGGAGAGAGAGGGGGGTATATGGGTTGAATCAGGGACAATGTCACTGCTTCTTTCTCCACTACATTTTTCCCTCTGCTCACGTTTGTGTCCTCCCTCTCTCTCTCTCTCTCTCTCTCTCTCTCTCTCCCTCCCTCTCTCTCTCTCTCTCTCTCTTTCTCTCTCTCTCTCTCTCTTTCTCTTTCTCTCTCTCTCTCTCTCTCTCTCTCTCACACACACACACACACACACACACACACACACACACACACACACACACACACACACACACACACACACGTCACTCTATTGTGTATATTTTCACTTAAACAAGGATTTGGTATAAGTTTCGTGTATATTTTCACTAAAACAAGGATTTGGTATCAGTTTCGTGTCTATTTTCACTTAAACAAGGATTTGGTATCAGTTTCGTGTCTATTTTCACTTAAACAAGGATATGGTATCAGTTTCGTGTCTATTTTCACTGAAACAAGGATTTGGTATCAGTTTCGTGTCTATTTTCACTTAATCAAGGATTTGGTATCAGTTTCGTGTCTATTTTCACTTAAACAAGGATTTGGTATCAGTTTCGCGTCTATTTTCACTGAATCAAGGATTTGGTATCAGTTTCGTGTCTATTTTCACTGAAACAAGGATTTGGTATCAGTTTCGTGTATATTTTCACTGAAACAAGGATTTGGTATCAGTTTCGTGTATATTTTCACTGAAACAAGGATTTGGTATCAGTTTCGTGTATATTTTCACTGAAACAAGGATTTGGTATCAGTTTCGTGTATATTTTCACTGAAACAAGGATTTGGTATCAGTTTCGTGTATATTTTCACTTAAACAAGGATTTGGTATCAGTTTCGTGTATATTTTCACTTAAACAAGGATTCGGTATCAGTTTCGTGTATACTTTCACTTAAACAAGGATTCGGTATCAGTTTCGTGTATATTTTCACTGAAACAAGGATTTGGTATCAGTTTCGTGTATATTTTCACTTAAACAAGGATTTGGTATCAGTTTCGTGTATACTTTCACTGAAACAAGGATTTGGTATCAGTTTCGTGTATATTTTCACTGAAACAAGGATTTGGTATCAGTTTCGTGTATATTTTCACTGAAACAAAGATTTGGTATCAGTTTCGTGTATATTTTCACTGAAACAAGGATTTGGTATCAGTTTCTTGTGGGCAAAACTCCCATGTTATTTGTTTCTTCCTTGTTCTAGAGTTTGTTTGTGGGTGGTTGGCGGGTGCTCTGGTGTGGTTTGCTCCTTCTTTCATATGAAAAATCTATCGTTTCTATCTCCCCTCCTTCTTTTTTTGTGTTTGTTACTCTCTTGTAACACCTCTAATCTTCAGCACTTATATGACCTTAATGTGTTGCAAGTGCCGTAAAACTCTTACTAGAACAACAAAAAAGAGTTTGTTTCTTTCCTGGGGATTTTTTTTTTGTGGGGAGGGGGTATTGGGAGAGGAAGGGAGGGGGGGGGGGTTCTGTTTGTTTTAGTAGAGGGTTTACGGCTCTCGCAACTGCACAATAAGGTCATATGAGCGCCAAGAGGTGGGTGTCAACATAGAAGTTTTTACAGGGAGTCAGACTTACTCTGCTCACCTCTCTAGCTTCAACAGCACAAAGTCTGCTTCGACTATCAAGGCACCCCGGAAATAGCAGGTCACAAGAGTGTGACAAACATACAAAAGAAGTAGAGGGAAAGTGACGATAGTAAGGATTAGGAAAGAAAAAGCAGCAGTTCCCTGTTGTAGTTCAGGCACAGAATGTGACGAAAAGTGTGACGAAAAGTGTGACGAAAAGTGTGACGAAAAGTAGTAGGGTACATGCTAGTCGCTTCAGCAAAATTCGGATAATACTTTTGTGTACCCCTTCGGCTAATAATATGTCATGAACCGCTTCGGCAAATGGGTTAGAACCACTTAGACAAATGGGTTATCATCACTTCAACAAATGGGGGCACCCACTTCCGCAAACGGATCAGGAAAGAGGGTTGAAAAATCTGAATTCGGATAATGTCTTATGGAGGATTATCCGATTATCCGGATATTTATCCGGATTTTGCCCACCTCTAGTACATGCCGAAAAAAGATGGGCACGGGATGATTGTTGAGGCAGTGAATGTTGTCCCTCTGCGCTTTTGAGAACTAGAAGTGTGACGTGGCAGTTTGTCAGTTTGTCAGTGTTTAGTGGCAGCTTGCACTCTATGCTTCCTAGGGATTTGAGGTTCTTTTATAGAATGCTACCATGTCTGTTGGGGTAATAATATGTGAGGCAGCGTGGTGGAATCAGGCTCTCGTCAAATTTTGGGCATGTAGAGATAATGGTATGATCTCAAAGCTTGTTCACTTGTCTTTATTTGGGTGAAAAAAATGCCCATTTATCTAGAATACAAGTCGAGATATTTGCGAAAGAAGGAGGTGGGGGTCAATTGTTTTCAGAGGTAAAATTAGTGAGAAAATGGCCGCCAAAGATTAGTTATTTCCTTAGCTTAGGAGTCCATGGTAACTGAAAATTTACTTTTTTCTGCCTTTAATGAACGCTTTTCAGACAAAAACACACAGAAATGAGTTCTTTAATGGGTATAAAAGGTGTTGGGCCAAAAAAGGAAAATTTGTTAAAAATTCACAAACCGGCAGAAAAATGCAAGTTTCTTCACTTTGATTATTTTGACGAGAGCCTGATTCCACCACGCTGCCTCACAAATGGTTGTGTTTGATTTTATTTCGCACGCTTGCCACATGCTGTGTGCTGTGTGCGGCGTGCCGTGCGCCGTCTATGGAGGGTCTGCCTTAGAATACAACCGCGTCTGTTGGGGTAATAATATTGTGATAGATCATAAAGCGTAAAAAGCTCACTATTTCCTAAAGTATGTGATGCGTGTTAACGAAATGGGTTAATGCTCGGATGTTAGCCTTAAAGACTCAGATATATACGTCAAATATATAGGCTTCGTTTGTGTAAATCAAATTATGCATTGACGAAAATCTTGTTTGATTTGAAGAAAATGGCATCGTTTGAAAATCTACAAATTGGGTGTGTCCATTTTCGGCCCACGTGTCCATCCGTAGATTGCGAGAAGTGACACATTTTGACCGCACGCCTCACGAATTCGATTTAATTTTTAAACTGTCACAGTAAACGGAGGTCGTGTTTTAAATGGACTCTCTATTAGAAAGAGAGACAGAGAGAGAGCGAGAGAGAGAGAGCGAGAGAGAGAGAGGGGGGGGTCGAAGGGAGGGAGACAGAGAGAGAGCGAGAGAGAGGGGGCCAGGGAGGGAGACAGAGAGAAAGAGAGAGAGAGGGAGAGAGAGAGGGGGGGTCGA